AAAACCCCAAAACCCCAAAACCCCAAAACCCCAAAACCCCAAAACCCCATATTCAAATAATACATAGTTTAAAGCTTTTATCTTAAAATAGTAATATTAATTTAATTTTGAAATATTCAAATTCATGAATTTTTTTACATTTTAATCTCGCCTTTTTGTGTATTGGGTTCAGTTTGTAAAAAATATGTAAGTACAGCTACAACTCCAGTTATAGTGCAAAATACTGCCATGGGTACCGGAGCCTCAACCTCAGCCAGAAAAGGCGAGATAATTGTAGCTACCTTAGCAAATGTGTTACAAATTCCAAAAGCAGTGCCAGCAAATATTGTTGGGAAAATAGTTGCGTTTGCGAGGTAGCAAATATTGAAGGAGGCACTTACTCCAAATCGAGCCAATAGAATAAAAACTGGAATGATACTGATGAAATTTTAAAAAATTAGCAGGAAAAAACCACCAGAGAGAGAAATTAAAAAACATGATACCAGAACAACTCTTATTCCAAGCGTTTAATAAAGAATGCCACTTAGGAAACAAGCAATCATATCTGTTATAGAGGCAGTAATAACATTGACAAAGAAATCTCCTTTAATGTACTTGAGCTGAAAGTTTATAAGATAGTAATTGAAAGATGTGCCTATCCAAGCACATATCATTATAAGCAAATTTATCATATGCCTACGTATTTTTATCAAATCCTTCAATGTGCCATTCAATTGTTATTCCTCCCTTATTATATCAACCTTGCTTAATAGTGGCTCTGCTTATGGATCGTTTAATGGCTAGCCATATCTCATAATTCTAGCTTTCCTAGATTCTGAATTTGATTAGCTTAAAAATCCTTAATCATAATAACTTTATTCATTTCCAGATAGAACATTATTTCGTGTTTAGTTTTATAGTTCATCCAATACTTCTCTATCGAATTTAAAATCAATTTAACCCTTATATCTGTTAAATCGAGCTATAATTCTCAAGGAATCTCTCGCTTCTTCGTATCTTTTCTTACTAATAAGTTACTTAGGCGACTCTGGTAGGTAGATTATTGAAATAGCTATTAGAAAGTTAGTTACACAGCCAAATATTTAAAAGCCTAGCCAATGCTTCGAAACATACAAGAAATATATTGCAATGAGGCTTGCTATAGACCCATTAACAATTTAGAGAAAAGTTCCAATGAAAGTCTATTACTTAGTAGGTGTAAGCTCCTGCATATAAAGATAGCCAACTGAAGTACGCCCGAGAGAAAAAAAACCAAAAAATCCCATTAGTACAATTGTTAAATTCAAATTACGAGATATAATCATTCCTAGGTACATTATTGCATGAAGAAGCATTGAAATGAAGTATACATACTTCCTACCAAATATATCCTATACAAAGTAAATATAAAGAATTAGAATACGCTTAATCTGGGTAGGAAAATAGCAGCGATAGCCCAACCTACAAAATAGATTGATCCAAGTAATCCAAGTTTAGCTGGACTTTCGCATGTTAGATCAAGTGATTGAACCCAGTTGTGAAGACTTGATTCGTAGTCCCAGTCAATAATATATTTTATAGAGGGATCCTTGCAAAATGTTTGATCTGCTTAGCATTCATAAGTAGTTCCATCCGCCTTGTAGCATAAATATCTAGGATTTTTTTCTAAAATTGCAAGAGCAAAAAATAAGATTCCTCCTGTGGCAAATCCCCAAATAAAGAGTGCAGAAGACCAATAATGAAAAAAAGTAAAGCCTCCTATTCTTTCATATGCTTATTACAATGTTAATCCGGTTTTTAATATTTCTGTATCATCAGAAAATCTCTAGATGCTTTCATTTTGTTCTTATTCTATTGTTAATCTGCTGTTTTCCAATTTCATTTACAGTATATTAATAAATTAAAATATTATAAACTGAAAGGAAATTAAAATTCTTATTACAACTTAAAAATTTATTATGGGGTTTTGGGGTTTTGGGG